TGAGCTTGGAACCCAGACCTGCACAACAGGAGTGCTTTCCAAGGACCAGTTTGAGAGGTTTGAATAAGCACATGTAAAACTCTTGCCATGTGTGTGGTGTGTGGGGAGCAGGACAGCACAATGTCCATGAAGCCTGCAGGATTCAAGTTCAATTTAATTTGATTTTAAAAAAAATCCCACATATTCTAATGTGGATTTCTAGGAAAATAGATTTCAGTGTAGTTCTGAATGATTTCTGCAACAGAGGATCAGTAGTCTTGAACAGGATAGTGTGGAGGTAAATGCTTAAATTTACTACCTTCAGTAGTGAGAAGTAGGAATAGGTTTGTTTATGTGTGTATACGTGCAAGAGCTGGAATAAAAATCAACAGTACATGTAATTCCTGGTCCCATGGACTGCTCTATCTCTTTCTGGTCCCATGGACTGCTCTATCTCTTCCTACTTGTGTGCCCTTCTGAGGTCGAATATGACTCTTATACTAGCCAGATTTCTAACCATTGATAACAAGTCCTTATATGTATAGCACTGGGATAAATAGTTTCGAAGGGAGAAAAATAACTTTTGGCTGAAAGAATATATGTAACTCAGTGTTGAACTGTGGAGTTGTTGATGCTCTCTGAACTTTGTTGTTGATGAGCCGTATGTGTAAGTTCCTGGCTCACCAGTCTTCTCAAGAAAGCAGAACTCTTGAAACAAACGGCATTTCAAAAGGAACGTTTATTGGAAGACAGTGATAGCAGAGAGAGTGTAGGTAGAATTTGAATTTTGCACACAGGAGCATTAGTTTAAACCGCTCCTTTCAAAGCCCCTCCCAATGTCCAGTTCAACCTTGAGAGAACTTCAAACTGAGAAGGTGTTAACAGGCAGTTGCCAGGCGCCACGAACTTGCTCATCTAGTGGTGAGACAAAACAGATGGCCCAAGGCATATTCTTTCCCCCCTTCCAACATCCCAAAGGTACATCAAAGCAGAGAAAAAGAACAAAGAAATCCCCATGCAAGCATATACCTCAAATTCTCCCCCATCTCATCAGAATGGCAAGCTTCCGATAGAGATCTATGGGACCTGACAGTATGTAGGCCCAGGATATCTGTCGGACCACCTGCAACCAGCATCGATTTCCCATCGCCCGGTCGTTCCCACAGAGAGGGCCTACTCAGGGTGCTGTCGGCTAGACAATGTCGGCAGGTGTCCCCCAGGGGTAGAGCCTTCTCTGTGGCCGTGCCCACCCTTTGGAATCAACTTCCTGTGGGTCTTCGGCTGGCCCCCGACCTTCGTACCTTCTGCCGTGAGCTTAAGACCTGGCTGTTTAAACGCCTTAACCAGGACTGATGGGGTCTACTGTTTTAAATTGGTTTTTAGTCTGTTTTAGTCTGTTTTAATTTGTATTTATTGGGATTGTTTCGTTTGATGTGAGCCACCCTGAGTCCTTCGGCGAGAGGGCAGCATATAAATCCAATTAATAATAATAATAATAATAATAATAATAATAATAATAATAATGATGTTTAGGGGACATAGTTTGGATTGGACATTTTAGGAGGACAGCCACATTAGTCTAGGGTAGCATAAAAATATCAGGAATTTAGTCACACATTTTGTCCATCTACCACAGGAGTGTCAAACTCGATTTCATTGAAGGCCGCATCACGGTTGTGTTTGACCTGGGGGGTGGGCAGGATGGGTGTGGCCAGAGTGATTGTGGCCAGCTTGACATCACTCATGTCGCGGGGCGCCTGTGGTGGCCCGAGCACTCTGCCAGTGATAATGGTCTCCCGAGCTCCGTTTTCAGCTGGGATGGTCTCCTGCAACCCTCTGCCAGTGAAAACAGAGCTCGAGAGGGTTGCACGTGGCCCTCCTGAGCTCTGTTTTCACTGGCAGAGGCACCATGGGTCAGTCCTTTGCTGTTTCCAGGGCGGCCGCCTTGGGCCAGATCAGGGATGAAGTATCTATATCCTGCCTAAATATACTATTCTACTGTTGTATAGATCTTATTGTAAAGTCCCAAAATGTACTTGAGTCACCAGAGTGCCAAAGAGAGAGACTCAAGAAGAGGCTTGGAAAAATACCAGCTTTAATTTGTACGAAGAAGAGCTGGGTTGACCATACCACTACATAGAGACAAAGAGCATGCAGTGAAAGGCCACACCTTGGGGAAGGTATGGTGTCCTTTTATACCTTCAGAGGCATTAGTTTAGTATCCAATTCTGGCCCCTGGCCCATGCCTTTCATGTAGCCCTACATTGGCTATGCAGCAAGCAGCAGGAGCAGGGAGGCTGAGTGCTTAACAACAGAGGGGCTGGGTGCTTAGCAATAGAGGTATTTACCCGGTGTAACCCTGCCAAACTGTGACATATTCCGTTCCAGGCACCGAGGTATACAAAAAAAAAAAGAGAGCAGGAGTTACATCCCTGATATAAGCCAATGGCAGATGCAATTCTAATTCTTAGCAATGCAATTCTTACAGAAGCAAAACAGCAAGTCAAACCAATTCTACTGACTCTATTATGTCCCACTAATTCTACCCATTCTACTGTTATTATGGCCCTACATACAGGGGTGAAATCCAGCAGGTTCTGACAGGTTCTGGAGAACCTATAGAAATTTTGAGTAGTTCAGAGAACCGGTAGCGGAAATTTTGAGTAGTTCGGAGAATCGGCAAATACCACCTCTGGCTGGCCACAGAGTGGGGTGGGAATGGAGATTTTGCAATATCCTTCCCCTGGGAGTGGGAAGGGAATGGGGATTTTGCAATATCCTTACCCTGGAGTGGGGTGGGAATGGAGTTTTTGCAGTATCCTTCCCCTGCCACGCCCACCAAGCCACGCCCACCACACCACTCCCACCAAGCCATGCCCACAGAAACGGTAGTAAAACATTTTGGATTTCACCACTGCCTACATATCATTAACACATTTCCCCTTACATTTAAATGAAACTTGAGTAGCTGTAATTTATGTCCATTGTGTCCCGGTTTGCATATTTAATTGAAAACCTATCAGTGGCTGAGATAAAATTCAGAAAGTCAAATTACTGAATTGGTGAGCCAAGGCAAGAAGAAAATAATTTAAAAATCAAAATCAAACATGTTATGAGAAATCTAAAGGAATGCCACTTTCATTACATGCTCGTGCTATTTAAGCTGATTTCAAAACAGAACATACGGAGGACAAAAAAAGAGAAGTGGTTAATCTGTATAGTTTGTTAGCTTTGTTTAGGACTTTCCTTTGCAGGTTCTCTGTACTTTTTTTTTTAAACAAGATTGTTTATTTCTCCTTTTACAACTGGTGGTAAGGTTGAAATAGAGCAAGATCTTCCTTCTTTGCCAGAAGAAATATTCCCTTTTCATCAAAGTTGAACAATTAATAATTATATAGTGTTTTTACTTTTTTTTATTATTTTTTTCAGGTCATTTTTTTTTCTTTCTCAGTTTTCCCCATTTTAGGAAAGCATATACAGTAATTTTAAAAAATAAAATTATTGTCTGGTTACTTAATTAATACAGTGAGAGTCATGTTTGTAGACGTCAGCTGCAAACTCTATAGTTGTTGCTGTCCAAAACTTATTAGCATTCAAGTAATCTGAAAAGCTCAAGGTTGAAGTTTCAGAATTTCTGAAAGAGAGAGGTACTGGTAATAATAATAATCAGAATAGAACTGGAAGATACCTTGGAGGTCTTTTAGTTTAATCCCCTTCTCAAACAGGAGACTCTATACCCATGATGGCGAACCTATGGCATGCGTGCCACAGGTGGCACGCGGAGCCGTATCTTTGGACACGCGAGCGTTGCCCTAGCTCAACTCCAGCACACATGCGCCTGCCAGCCAGCTGATTTTCAGGCCTTCCGAGTCCACTGGAAGTCAGGAAATGGGCTGTTTCCTGCCTCCAGGGGGGTGGGGAAGGCTGTTTTCACCCTCCCCAGGCTTTCCAGGAGGCCCTTCAGAGGCTGGAAACAACCCATTTCCTGACTATCAGTGGGACCAGAAGGCCCATTTTTCACCCTCCCCAGAAAGATCACGTGCCCACTGTGCCATCGCCTGCCAAAAATGGGGGGAGCGTGTGGGGGGGTCACGTACACATGCGCGGGGGGTGGAGCACACTGAATAATGGGTGTGGGCACATGCACGTGTGACATACCCCCACGTTCCCCCTGTGTTTGGCATGCAACGGCAAAAGAGTTAGCCATCACTGCCCTATACCATTTCAGACAGGTGGCTGTCCAGTCTTTTCTTAAAAACCTCCAGAGATGAAGCACCTACAATTGTTTTACTAAACATATTGCAAGCTAGAGTTTAATATAATTAAGATGAATCAACATTATGTGACAACTTTATTTATGGAACTCACAAGAGTTAAGGCACGATGGCTGTGCCATTGCCTTTCAGACCCAGTGGTTAGAAGTGGGTTTTAGAGTAGAATAGGAATAGGAATAGGAATAGGAATAGGAATAGGAATAGGAATAGGAATAGGAATAGGAATAGGAATAGGAATAGGAATAGGAATAGGAATAGGAATAGGAATAGGAATAAAAACAGAACAGAACAGAACAGAACAGAACAGAATTCTTTATTGGCAAAGTGCGATTGGACACACAAGGAATTTGTCTTTGGTGCATATGCTCTCAATGTACATAAAAAGACCAGATACATTCGTCAAGAATCATAAGGTACAACACTTAATGATAGTCATAGGGTACAAATAAGCAATCAAATCATACTAGGAAACAATCAATATAAATCGTAAGGATACAAGCAACCAATTTACAGTCATACAGTCACAAGTGGCAGGAGATTTTTTGTGCCGTTGGTTGGTTACTCTGAGAACATATTGCTAAACTAGATATGTCAGGGATCTAATTCAACAGGGCACTACTTACCTTCTTTCTATAAATATTTAAACAGAGGCTGGATGACCATTTGTTGGTGATGCTCTATGTTGGAGTCTTGCATTTGATAGGAATTTGGACTGAATAATTTCCAAGACCTTTTCCAACTCTTAACTTTAATTCTGTCAAACATATCCTATGATCTGAATGCACCCTATCTTTTCTACTCTCTTGTTCTATTTTATTTATTTATTTATTTTATTTTATTTTGTCAAGTATATATAAGATTACAGAAAAAGTATAAACATGATCGTGAATACATGAAATGAATAAACGTGGGTATGAATACATGAGATGGTTACGAATACATGGGGACATCTAGTGGTAAAAGTGGATAGTAGAAATACAGCAGAGTACCAGATTCTTCAGTTGTTTAGGATAGCACCAAGAACTGTGGTGTAGATGAGCCACTGTAGCTTTATTTTATAGTAATTCTTCCTATTCCTCCATTTATGTGAAGTACTCAGAGCAGTACTTCACAGGCAGAGATTCCAATATATAACCTTTCTCCCTCTGAATAATATGTTGTGGAACAAGGATGAAACTGCTTAAACAATAAATAGTAAGAAACAAGGATGTAAACAATTTAAAAATTATTGGTTATTAATTTTACTTGTTTGCTATTCCTCAAAAGGAGGATAAACTGATACTAAAGCAGGAATGTAGAATAATATTACTTCATAAATAAAATAAATTTATATTTCTGCCTATAAAGACAATACTTGACACATAGTCCTATTACCTATGGTAGACAAAAGCTGTTGTGCTAGGAATACTGAGAAACTGAAGTCTATGGATAATCTGGATAAAATAGTTCAGTATTCAGTATGCCCCAGTATTCAATACTATTTGTTAACAATCAAAGAAGGAGAGACACTTCTCGGTCACTGGTATTCTGGGTATGATTACTGGTCATAGCACATTCTGGAATAGCAGTAGGCACTCCACTGCAATATTTGCCACAAGACCCAGAGGCACATGTGAATGAAATGCATCTGAGAACCAAGTGGGAAAAGTACTTTCTGAATTTTTCGCCAGCAAAAACATAGATGATTGGGTTAAGACAGCAGTGGCTGAAAGCTACTGTCTCAGTCACTTGTACAGTATAATCCAGAAACCTTAAGGAACTGCAGTTTTTGAAGACATCAAAGTAGTGTAGCACCTGCAGAAAAAGTGAGATGTGATATGGAGTCCAGAAGAGAAAAAATATGATTACCACAAGTGAAATCACTTTCATAGCTTTGTGTTTGCGCTGGTTTTTGCAGGACAGCAACGTTCTGATGATCTGCAGATAGCAGTAGCTCATGATGCACATTGGGAGAAGAAATCCAATGATGTTCATTTCCAAGTAGCTGAAAACAGGCCATATTAGAGTAAGATGTTCTGGATACAATGAAGTACACTTTCTGTCTGATGCTTGGATGAATATAAAATGGGGGCTTGCAAAGAAAACTGCTAAGGCCCATATTGATATACTAGTAAGATATCCATAGGTGACTGTCCTGGATTTCATAATACATGTTGCCCGAACAATAGCCAAGTATCTGTCGATGCTTATGATGGTTATGAAAAACATGCCACCAAAGAAGCCCACAGAATAGAAAGAAGAAACTATTTGGCATGTAAGGGTCCCAAGTGTCCAATCATGTATAATATAAGAAGCCCAAAAAGGAAGAGAAATCACAAAAAGAAGGTCAGAGATGGCCAAATTCAGGAAAAAAATATCAGTGATGCTCTTTTGGTGTCTGGCTTTCAGAATGGTAAGAACCACTAGAAAATTCCCTATCAGCCCAATGGCGAACACCAGGCCATACAATATAGGCAGGAAGACTTTTCCAAACGTCTGGATGTCCATTTTATCACATGGAATGGCTTCGTCATCCTCATAGGGAAAAGGAGACATTCCTTCAATATATTCTTCAGTCATGGTGAATATATGCTTAAAATAAAAATATAAATGAGAAACAGACGTGGATATGTATACAGTACTACTAGGAATTCTATATTATAGAACCTTTTTGTAATGTAAGCAAACATTATCAAGTTACTAAGTCAAACTTACCCATATTTTTCGGACTATAAGACACACTGGTGTATAAGAAGCACCAAGATTTCGAAGAGGTAAGCAAGAAAAAAAAGTTTTCGCCCTCCCCAGCCTCCAGGAGCAGTCTGCAGGCCTTCCAAAGGCTCTACGCACCCAGTTTTTTTGAAAAACGAGCCCGTTTTTAGCAAAAATGGGATGCGCAAGGAGAGGCTTCGGGAGGCCAAAAATGGCTGTATTCAGTGTATAAGACTGAATTTCCACCCTCTTTTGGGGGGGAGGAGTGCGTCTTATACTCCGAAAAGTACAGTAACTTTACTAGTTAAATTTGTTCTGGGGACAAATTTGAAGGGACTTATTTCTGAGTAAAACGCAGAGGAAATGAATATGAATATGATGTTTCTTTTTCTTTTTTTATTGGCAGGAACTGTTGATTTAAAAAAAACCACAACAATATTTAGGTATAGCAGATGAGTTCTATTACAGTAGATCATGGGAAACTGCTAATGATTTGGGGTAATTGTGGTTCAGGATTGGGACATAAAAAGAGTTGGGGATCATGAATGACCAGAGGGATCTCAGAGGGATGACTTCTCTTTTAACTCTTTTTAATAGATTATATTGTGACTGCTCTGTTGGTAGCTTCATAAAACTTTATTGTCTTATGCTATGAAAATAATAGATAATATAATACTGTATTCCAACATTAGAAATATTTAGCCAACCTTGGCTAATCAGTAATTGCCATAAATATGCAATTTTCTGTTTCATCCCCTAACGCTGAAATGGACAATCTGGAAATGGAACTCTGGAAATTGTTAAAATTCTTCAGAGTTAGTCAACAAGCTCAGTGAATGGGGTGATAGGACATATATACCTGGTGTGTCTCCAAATCTTCTGCTTCTTCAGATGAAGTGAAGTGCTAATACCACTTTATAATGCCTTGGTAAGGCCACAATTGGAATACTGCATCCAGTTTTGGTCGTCACGATGTAAAAAAGACGTTGAGACTCTAGAAAGAGTGCAGAGAAGAGCAACAAAGATGATTACGGGACTGGAGGCTAAAATATATGAAGAACAGTTGCTGGGATTGGGTATGTCTGGTTTAATGAAAAGAAGGACTAGGGGAGACATGATAGCAGTGTTCCAATATCTCAGGGGCTGCCACAAAGAAGAGGGAGTCAAACTATTCTCCAGAGCACCTGAAGGCAGGAGAAGAAGCAATGGGTGGAAATTAATCAAGGAGAGAAGCAACTTAGAACGAAGGGGAAATTTCCTAGCAGTTAGAACAATTAATCAGTGGAACAACTTGCCTCCAGAAGTTGTGGATGCTCCAACACTGGAAGTTTTAAAGAAAATGTTGGATAACCATTTGTCTGAAGTGGTGTAGGGTTTCCTGCCTAGGCAGAGGGTTGGACTAGAAGACCTCCAAGGTCCTTTCCAACTCTGTTATTCTATTCTATTCTATTCTTGAAGCAGCAGGAAATACCTAGACAAGATGTATAAAATCTGAGATGAGGCAAGCTATTTGGTGCTTAAAGCTGAAGGTTTCACAAATCTATCTATCTATTTTATCTATCTATTTTAAATTTATATACCGCCCTTCTCCCTGAGGACTCAGGGCGGTGTACAGCCAGAATTAAAAAACATGAAATACAAATATTAAAAACAATTAAAATATATATAAATTTGGCCCAAAATTAAAAATACAAACCAATTAAAACATTTAAAATTTCTTCTTAAGCCAGCCCGGCTTGCTGGAAAAAGTGGGTTTTAAGGGCACGGCGGAAGGCGCTAAGGTCTTGGATTCTCCTTATCTCTGGGGGCAAATGTTACTGTTCCCTCCCCCTCAAAGTAGAAATACAATATTAATAAATTTTAGAAGATAAATACACAGAGGTAAATGTAACTACTATTTGTTTCACAGATTTACCCATGCACTTTTCTTGGCTACAATATGGATGTGATTAGCCATTGATTGCTTCCAAGATGTTTTTCTATTTCCCAATTTACCTCATGGCCCTGGGATTCTCGGTTTTTTTCCTATCCAAACACAGACCAGGTTCAACAGCTTAGCTTCTGGATTAAGAGATGATGCTACTTGCTGAGATCAATCCCATTTGGTGCTTTTTACTGATATCCCCGAATCACCTCTAATCATAGTTGGGATCCTTGGAGTTTCCCATTAGTTGGGTTTGGTTGTGATACAGTTGTGTTACAGTTATTGTTGTTTCCCAACAAGTTGCCTTGGATTCTTTGGGTAGGAAATTTATGAAAAACAAACAAACAATCGTAGAAATAGAAAGCCCCACACTCTAAAGTAATACATACATCTACTCTCTGAGCAGGGTGACTATTACTAAAAGAAAATATCAAAAAGTATGTGGCTTTGCACATAATTTGTCTAGAAAGTAAGCATCTGGGGTGTTTGTACAACCTCTTTCATTTTTTCTTACAGTTCTTTTTCCCACCTGTCTTGTTGGTTTCAACTAGCTGGATAGCTCTGCAGACTAAAGCACTGTAAGTTAACACCAGCTGTCTGCAATTAAAGTAAGTTCGAATCTCGCCAGGCTCAAGGTTGACTCAGCCTTCCATCCTTTCTAAGGTAGGTAAATTGTGGACCTAGTTTGTGGGGGCAATAAGATGACTTTGTATAAAATATACAAAAGTATGAAGGCTATTGCTTAACGCACTGTAAGCTGCCCTGAGTCTCCGGAGAAGGACGGCATATAAATCAAATTACAAAAAAACAACAACAAAAACCTAGAGTGGCAAGTGCTAGAACTGAATTCATGAATTCTTGAGAAAAGTTCTGGTATCTGTTTTCAGGAGAAACACTATGAAAGGTAAAGGAGTGGTTTGTGGTATTAACACTCTTCCTGATTTTGCAACTGGTAAACTGACTTCTGTGTTATTTCAAAATTCAAAACAACAGAAGTGTGCGATCTGGCGGTCAGGGGTCATGACAACTAAAGTCAGAGGTATGCTGACAGTTTCTTAATAAAAGAATTATCCACAACAAAGCAATAGGGAAGTTGGTGAGAAATGTTTTCACTCAAGTTCTTGAAAAATAAGACACCCTGTTTTCCTTGGTGCTGTTCATTTGGAGGGGCAAGAGAGATCAATGCTGCCTCAATTCCTTCCTTAAATGATCCCTTGCTGGCATTTCTTATGCAGGATTAACTTGTAGCTCTTGTGGTACCTGCCTTAGTTCTATCACCACTGTGGATGCAATCAGGAATAGATCCTTCCGCAGAGTTTTTCTCCAAGTTATCTCCATGACTGCAATGTGATGCTTTATTAAACATTTTTTAAAAAAACAATGGACCTGCTATTCTTCCAAAATTTAACAAGCCTTCTCTAGTATTAAAGTCCAATTCAGTTCAGGGAAAGCTTGATTCATTGCAGATGATGCCCTTCAGCTTGATTCTTAAAGGTTTGTCTTTAGGATATGACAGATTCCTCTGTTCTTTTGTCTAATGGTTGTAGTTTGACTATCAAGTCAAACACATAAGACATAATGCATCTAATAAACAGCTTGCAGCAGAAGGCATATGACAAGGAAAAGAATGACTAAGAGAAGAAGTTGGGATGGAATGAGATGGGATGGGATTGTCCCTATGCTGAATTTCACAGCAGAGGAGTTTCCATCCTGAAAGCCCCCATTATGTCAATGGAAAGATCTATGTAGAATACTCTGGGTCTTTGAAAGGGCCGTAGCCTTTATCAGATTAACAGAGTTGGAAGGGACCTTGTAGGTCATCTAGTCCAACCCCCTGCCCAAGCAGGAGACAAAGGAGAAATCTTGTGAAGATTTCATTTTCCATAAAATGTAGGCTGATGAAACTTAATATATATATGACATGCTCTACCACTTCCCTGAGTACACCAATTCTGGTTAGATTGACTATATTTATTTACTTATTTATTTATCCAATTTATGTAGTTTTCATTTCACCAAACAAGTGATTCTGGGTAGCATACAACAAAGCTAAACAGTTATCAAATACCATATTTTTTGGAGTATAAGACACACCTTTTCCCCCCCAAAAAAGAGGATGAAAATCTGGGTGCATCTTATACTCTGAATGTAGTCCCGCCCAGCTTCTCAAATGGAGGTTTCAGAGGCTGAAAAAAGCATCAGAAAAGAAGCTTCAGAAAAAAAGCCCCCAAACAGAGCTTCAGAGGCTTTTTTTCTGAAGTTCTGTTTCAGAGGCAGGAAAAGAATTTTTTTCTGAAACAGAGTTTTAGAAGTTTCAGAGGCAGAAAAAAAAGCCGAAAAAAAAGCAAGGCACAGAGCTCACAACCAAGGAACCTGTTGCTAAAATTCACCTCTGAGAGCAGCGGATCGGGGGGGTATTCCGGGAGGCAGATCCACCTGCCAATCAGCTTTTTTCTTATTTTCCTCCCCAAAAACTAAGGTGCGTCTTATACTCCGGTGCATCTTATACTCCGAAAAATATGATAGGTAAAACCAAATAGATAAAACCAAAATCATTATTAATTATTTTAAAAAGTTAAAATTATTTTAAAAGTTAAAAATAAATAGCAAGAGCAAAGAAATAGCAGATGAAAGAATGTAACAGAGTCACCTCATTAGTTCAGCCATTCCTTGGGGGCCCTAGGCATAATGACATTTTCCATGCCTTGACCAAATTACAACACATTCAATATGGGGAGCTGAGATGGGATTTATGCAGGATAATAGGTATATTTAAAGGAAATAGAACTTTATGTTCCTGTTTGCTTCTATATTTGAATATATACATTCTAAATCTGTATAAAAAGCAGATGTGTCAGCAGTCAGATGGTGATTACTGTAGATGAAGAGGGTCAGGGGAAAAATTGCCCAATAATCATAGAGAAGTTTAAGAAGAGAAAATCCACATTTCTCACAGATAGAAGAAGAGTAGAAAGAACAGTAATTCCAGCCTCAGGTTTGGGTCTTCCGAGCAATACGATCATGCTTCACTAGAAGCCACAAAAGAGGAAGCAAACAAGCATGAGAAAATGTGAAGGGAAAGTGTTCTACTTGCTTCTCCCAGATTCTTAACAGATATGAACAAAGCACACACAATACATAGTAAATAGTATGTAGAACATTTATACTTTACCTCTATTTTGTAAAACTAGCGAACAGCAGAAAAAGAAAGATTAGTTCATACTGTTTGTGATATAGTGCACAAACAATTTTGGATTAATGAAATAATATGATTTATTTTCTGGCTACCCCCAAAAATAGTGCTTTAGTAAAAAAAATATCTAAATCTGCTTTTTTTTTCCAGTTTCAAATTGTAAACGTTTCATTGCACTGTACAATGTACAGAAATTAACAGTACACAGAGACTGTATAGGCTGACCATTATACTTTAGTGATACCTTTATATCAAATTTCTATACCGCCCTACTCCCGGAGGACTCAGGGCGGTGAACAGCCAAGATAAAATACAGATAATACAAATATTAAAAGTCCCTTAAAATTGTTAAATATTTTGGCCGAAACACAGATTAAAACACCCAATTTATAAAATCAAACGAATTAAAAATTTAAAAGAGGAGAGTTAGGCCAGGCCTTTGACAAATATTATAATTTAACTTATTGTGCATGCTTTCCAATATGAATCCCTATTTTAAAATTTGGGCAGGAAGTTATATAATACTATCCTTCCGAGGTTGGCAAAATGAAGATCAGGATTGCAGGGGGCAATATGCCGACTCTGTAAACCACTTAGAGAGGACTATAAAGCACTGTGAAGCAGTATTTAAGTCTGCTTTTATTAACAAACTTTAACAAGTATTTTGAAAAGCTGAACATTGTTAACTATCTTAAAACAGACACCTCAGTCTTCTTTTCTAAAAAAGAATATATTGCTATTAAGGATATTGTTCTGTATACCCGCAATGTATATACCTTGCTTCAGCACTGCTTGCTCACTTGCATTCAATTTATAAGCAATTAATTATATGCACATTTGTAGTCAATTAATCAACTAAAGTATGATTCATCTACCATATCTATTGAATAGGATCACAATTGTGGGATGTTGATATTTTAGAGCAGGGGTCTCCAACCTTGGCAACTTTAAGACTTGTGGACTTCAACTCCCAGAGTTCCTCAGCAAAGCAAAGCTGGCTGAGGAACTCCAGGAGTTGAAGTCCACAAGTCTTAAAGTTGCCAAGGTTGGAGACCCCTGTTTTAAAGGACACCTCAGGGGAAAAAGCTGGGAGGAGAAATCCTGATTTTCTTTTTTGAGATATGATATACAGTCTTACCTTAAGTAATTCTGTCTTGCTCCGAAAACATAGACTTTTTGTATCTGGTTTGGATGAGTCTTACATCTGCTTTAGCTTACGGTCAGCATTTATATAAATACTCTATTTCTCAATTGCAAAACTAGCAGAGGAAATAAATTGCTTCCTTAAAAGAAATTGCATGCATTAATAACCGCAAGCATGGAAATGTGGGCTACTGCATGCTTTTCTAGTCTGGTATTTCCTTAAATCTCATGAAAGCCCGTGTTAGGCTTCTTTTTTTCTCTCTCTCTCTCCTTTGAATTTTGGATTTAAAATTTACACACACACACATGCATCCTCAAAAAATGTTTCTCTATATTCATCTCAGATTTTACTTCAAATGCTTTGATAACTCAACATCCTAATTTATGTGCAGAGTGGATTATAAACTGCTGCAGCTGTGGACAGATTACAGATTAACGGAGTTGGAAGGGACCTTGTAGGTCATCTAGTCCAACCCCCTACTCAAGCCGGAGACCCTACACCATTTCTGACAAATGGCAGTCCAATCTTTTCTTGAAAGTCTCAAGTGATGAAGCTCCCACAACTTCCAAAGGCAAAGCTGTTCCACTGGTTGATTGTTCTCATTGTCAGAAAGTTCCTCCTCATTTCTAGGTTGAATTTCTCCTTGATCAGTTTCCATCCATTATTCCTTGTCTGGCCTTCTGGTGCTTTGGAAATTAGCTTGACCCCCCCCCCTCTCTGTAGCAGCCCCTCAAATATTGGAACACTGCTATCATGTCTCCCCTGGTCCTTCTCTTCACTAGACTAGCCATGCCCAGTTCCTGCAACCGTTCTTCATATGCTTTAGCCTCCAGTCCCCTAATCATCTTTGTTGCTCTTCTCTGCACTTTTTCTAGAGTCTCAACATCTTTTTTATAGTGTGGTGACCAAAACTGGGTGCAGTACTCTAGGTGTGGTCTTACCAAGGCTTTCTAGAGTGGTATTAGTGCCTCACTTGATCTTGATTGTATCCCTCTGTTAATGCAATTTAGGATTGCATTGGCTTTTTTGGCTGCCGCTGCACACTGCTGGCTCATATTTAACTGGTTGTCTACTAAGACTCCAAGATCCCTCTCATAATCTCTGCTATTAAGCCTGGTTTCCCCCAGTTTATATGTGTACTTTTGGTTTTTCTTACCTAAGTGTAGGACTTTGCTTTTCTCTACATTTCATTTTGTTAGATAGGGCCCAGTGTTCAAGTCTGTCAAGATCCATCTGGATCTTGAGCCTATCTTCTAGGGTGGGT